GGAAGCGGCCCCCCCCCCCCCCCCCCCCCCAGGAGCCACGTTTCCATGACACCCAGTGGGGAGGTGCTTGTCCACAGACCTGATGCTTCGTGGGGTCCAGAAGTGCGGCGAGGGGAGCCTGGGGTGCCCCTCCATCATGGGCACGCCGACCTGGGGCTCCCACGGCGAGAGGGAACCCGGTCAGAGGATGCTGCCCAGATGTCACCCAGATGTCCCCAAAATGGTCACTCACGCCTTGCCACGACACCGCGGGCGGAGGTGGCACCGCGTGGTGTGAAACCGTCGCACGTCACCCCCGAGGTGTCACCTCCGGGATGTCGCCCTGGGGTCCCATCCTGCCGGGTCCCACGCGGGGCAGGGGGGCTGAGGCGGCCGCGGTGCTGTGCCGGGAGTGCCGCGTCCCCGGTGAGGGAGACAAAAGCACGATTACTCACTGCCGGGGAGGAGCGGCTCAACGCATTACTCAGCCCTGCCAGCAAATGGGTCTATTCTTTGCGCATCAAACTGGGGGGGACCGGGGAGGAGGAGGAGGGTAGGGGGACGGGGGACGGGGTGTTCTTTTTTCCCATTGAGCGATGACAGCCCACCTCCCCTCTCCGGCCCCCTCCTCCTCTCCCCCCTCCACCGGGGCTCGTTGGAGATGATTAATCCAAGAAGGAGACGCAGGAGGGCCAGGTTGCAATGGGGAGGTTCACGTCGCCATGGGTCATGGCCCCCCGCTCCGCAGCACTGTCCCCTGGGGGGGTGGCAGACAGTGTTGGGGGGGGGGACAGCAAGCACCAGGACCTGATTTTCACCCCTATGTGCTCCCAGGGCTACCCATGTGCGCTTTCCCAGCAAGCCCGAGCCAGCAAGGAGGGATTTCGGTGATGCTGATGGTCTGCAGGGCCACGGCCGGACACTGCTGCCCACGGGCACCCCGCTCTGGGGATGGGTGTGCAGCCTCCTGCACTCCTATCCCTCGCCCCAGGTATCCCCAGGTGGCTCCCCAAATGATATCCCCAAGCACCCATCCCTGCAACATGCCCGAGGACGCGTGGTGGTGCTTGGAGCACAACTGGGGCTGTGGGTTTTGCCGGAGTCTGGTGAATACAGGCACGCCTCTGGGCTGGTGCGAGATTTGCCGGTGGGTAAGGTGCATGCATCTCCCCCCAAGGTTTACTCTTGGCTTAGAGGTCTTCTAAGGAGCTCTTGGCGAGGCTGATGCCGGGATGGATGGAGACGCTAACGGAAGGGTGCTGGAGAGGGCAGGCAGGAGTGAGGGATGAGCCACCGGCAGGTTTGCAGCTTCTTAATGCAGGAAAATAATCAGTGTGGGTTCAAGTGGGGAAGGGGATTTCAAGTGGGTGAGCACATTGCCACCCTGAGTTGGGAGCACGGGTTCTCCCAGGGATGAGGGGGACGAAGGGGGACAGCATTCCCGAGGGGATGCCCGCCAACAGGAACAGGAGGAGGGGTGGGGAAGGATGCAGGAGCGACAACAGCCCTGATGGGGAGCACCCGGAGCCTCCCAAACCTCATAGGGGCTGCAGCTGCGGAGCATGAAGCTTTAAATAGGGGAGCGGGGGCCCTTCTTAACCCCTTGGCTGTTCTGCCCTGGCTCGGTGTCCCCACGGCTCTCCTGACCAGCCGGGCTGCATGATGGTGGTGGTGGTGGGGGTGCACTGGTTGTGTTTGCGGGGTGCTGGTTGCAAGAGGGTGTCCCCTCCCCTGGGAAACAGGCCTTGGCATGTGCTTTGGGGTAGGGAGAATTGGCAGAGTGGGTCCTTCCCTCAGCAGCACCCGGCTTTCCGCGGTGTCTGAGATGGTGCAAAGTGGTTCAGGTGGGGAATCTGATTTTGAGCTCCAGGGGACGTGGCTCGGGGGGCTCTGGGCATGGAGTGGATGCTCAGGTCTGTTAGGAGAGTCCTGCTTGTTCGTGGTGTTGGTTATGGGCAGGAAAACCTGCCTGTGTTGTTCAGCATGCAGGAAAATTGTGTTTTACTCGGTTACCAGATGCAAAGGGTAATTTTGGGCTGGACAAGACCTTTTCTGGCTGGCTTGGCATTACAGCTCCTGCTAGCACCTCTCCGCAGGGTCTGTGCAGTGCCCTTGCAGCTGTGCCTCTCCACGTGGCTTCGCAGGCACTAATGAATGTACCCGTGCTGCGCTCCCGCTCCTGGGGAGGAAAACCTCGTTATCCAGAGAGATGAGGTGGTGTGTTCGCAGATGCCCCGTGGCTGAGCCAGGCAGTAGGTCTGGATGCCTGGCTGCAGTGCCCTGGATTACAGCGGTGGCTGGGGAGCTGCTTTCACGGAGAAGCGGTGAATTCGGGTGAGTCGAGTCCCAGCACCCTGCCGCAGCACTGACAGGGGGTCCTTACTCGCCGCCCTTGGTGCGTCCCTAATATTGCTCCTGTTAATGCACCTGCAAGCCCCTACGAAGCAATTAAAACTGCAGCTACACAGAAAAATTCAGCGTAGCGTGCCGTGCGATGCTGCTCTCTTGCTGATGAGCTTGTCCCTGCCTGGCCTGGGTGGGGGGACACCCTGTCCGTTTTGGAGCCCATCCGAGGGGAGGGCTGGGTACCACTGCAGCCGGTTGCCCCAGCAACTGTCACTCTCTCGCAGCATCCATCACACCAAACATTTTGGAGCCATTATCATGCCTTCAGTACAGCAAGGCTGCGGTGATGGAGCGCTGCTGGGGGATAAGCGTCACCCACGTCACCTTGCTGTTTATCTCACAGCAGTCATAAATATCTGCTGGCATCTGCGTGTCCCACTGCTCTAATCCCCTCGCAGTGCTGCTCGTGTGAAGAGTTACCTGAGCAGAGACCCGTGTCCGTAGGAGATTCAGCAGAAAACCAATCAGGATTTTTCGAAGCCAAGGGCCCTTAATTGCCTCTATCCTTGCAAATTAATAAAGCGTCGATGCTATTGTTTAACTCTGAGCGTGCGTGCATGGCTTCAGGTGCAGCCTAGGAGTATTTGGGGGGGGCTGAGGGATGGGAAGGGTTGTGAGGGTGATGGGGCGGAGGGGGCTATGCCACCCTAACGTGAAATGTGGGTTGTGGAGCAAAGATCTGGGGCTGTCAGGGGTGCACGGGGTGTCTGCAGGGTGCCAGGAGGATTCCCTGAGGGGTTTCTGGTGGGTCACAGGCTGCAGCCCCCCTGCTCCGCTGCTCAGCTTGCAGCAAGCTTTGGAGGGCTTGAATTGTTTTTCTTCCTCGAGCTCTGCCAAATGGGCCTCGGCTCCTTGCTCCGGCTCCCACCTGGCAGCCTTGAGGTGCGATTGCCATCACCCGGGAAGGATCCCTGGAGCACTGCACCGCGTCCCGGCTTGTTCCAAGGGTGGCTGTGCTGAGAGCACGGCCCTACGTGATTACGACGCGAGGTGCAGGCACACGTTAATAGCTAATAACAGCTACTGAATATCAAAGTGTCTCCCAGAGTCCCTGTCCCAGCCCCGTGGGGTTTCCCGGCAGGGTGTGATGCCGGCTGAGGTCCCTGTCTCCCTGGTCCTGCCCAGAGGACAGGCAGCACAGGGAGGTGGTTTTCCCAGACCCAGCCGCGGTCAGAGGCAGGACGAGGCACTGGTTGCCCTGGTTTGGTCTGTCCTGCCCTACCAGTCCCTTGGGGGCATCCCCTCCTGTCTGGGTCCCCCTTCTCACTTTGGCATCCTCCATCTGAATGTGCAGTTCCCAAGGATGGCTCCTGGGCACCTGGCTGCTCTGCTTGCTCCTTGCCCTGTTAAGGCAGAAAGTGGTCTGAAGACTGTCCTGACTTTTTCCTTTCTTCAGGATTTTTTTTTTTTTTTTACTGCCTTTATTCTGCTTTCCCTGTCCCCTAGCATCTAACCCAGCTCGTGCTGGGGGATTCCTGCTCCTTTTCTGAGCCTGCGCTGCTCTTGATCTGGCACTTTGCGTCGTTTAAGGACTTAAAATTAAGTGCAACAATATACTGTGAAAATAGGCTTGACTTTTTTCAGTGCTGCCTAAAAATAAGCAGGCTCTGAGGGTCGGAGCCGCAACTGGGGGGAGCAGCAGGTGTCTGGGGCTGGGCTGATTTATCGCAGGGGGGCTCAGTTCTCCTTAATTAAGTTGTAAGGCCTTCTCTTGTGTTTTTACAAAAAAATACATGGTTTTGGCTCGCAGCATCCCTCCCGAAGGGAAGCCCAGCGTGAGTGCGCTGTGGAAGACACCCGCTCAGCTTCAAGGTTTGTCCTTATCCAAGGTTTTGCAGGGGATGCCTGGAAAAAAAGCGTGAATCAGCCATTCTCTGAGCACAAAGCAGAGCGGGCTCCCCGTGTGTCCCCCCCGGGGTTGGCTGGGATGGCTCCTTGCCTGCTGCAGGCAGCTTTCCTGCAGGGGCGGGGGGGGTCTGCGTGTAATTTCTTTGGACCCCCTCAGGGAACCAGTCAGGAGCCTCCAGGTCTTCCAGTTGGGATGCCTGTGCGGGTAATTTGGGAGCAGCATCTTGTGCCCTGTCTCGCTGCTCAGATGACAAAATGCAGGTCACGGGCATGGACTTTTTTGGGGGGAGGAAAGGCATGTCGGGCAGTGCTGCTACAGGGAGGGAATTGCTCTGCCTTCCCCTGATCCTGAAGGATGCTCGGTTCTGGGGGGTTTTCCCAGCTGACCAAGGATATAAGGGTCATTTCTCTGCCGTGGCTTGCTCTCCGGTGGGACTGGCCGTGGGGATCAGAAAGGCACTGGTGGGTCCCCACGGGTGTTCCCCTGTGGCCCAGCCTGCCTTGGCTTTAGGTTGCAGGGCTGCTCCGGCTATGCCTGGTGCCGCATCCCCCCAGCCCGTCTCTGGCTTTGCAGCACCAACAGGGAGACGTTTGTATATTCAAACGCCTTTGCATCATTGCCAGGGTTCAAGGAGCTGGGGCTGTACGTTTGTTTCCATTAAAAAAAAAAAAAAAATCACCTGCTGCGATTCTTTCCTCCCTTTTTTGCTGATGAGGAGTCAGGCCCAGGCGGCAAGAGGGAAATGCAAATACTGGTGGAGGAAGGAGCACATGGGGATGGGGAGCTCAGCCGAGGGTTTCTGTCCTCCAAACCACGGCACGGGCAGTGCCCGGCCACCCTGGCGAGGCCACGGCACGTGGAGCTTGGTGCAGTCCGTGGCGCAAGAGCAAGCAGGGCTGGGGGAACGGAGCGATGCCCCTGCAGAGGCTGTGCTGTCTGCAGAAAGCCTCGTGCAAGGCCACCGTGTCCTTGTCAGCCGGGGGGTGACGCAGGTACGCATGGCTGCTGCTTCCCGGCTGTTTTCCCTGTGGCTCAGAGCTCCTGCTCGCCTTCCCCGCCGCCCTGCAGCGGTGCTGGGAGCCGCGGCCGCCGTGCAAGCCATGGTGCGGTGACCAGAGTGCCGGCGGAGCTGCAGCACAGCAGGGAAACGGCATTTATTTGCTGCGACAGC